ATAAACTTTCCCCTTCCAAAATTTAATGGGGCTTAGTGATCCCAGACCAGTTTTTTATTTGTAAAAATAAAGCCTATTCCTCCCTGCCTTCAAACCAGTTTGGTCTATAGAATTGCCTATATGGTCTCACCAGTATCAGTCTTTAATCACACCATAGGACTGGTGGAAAAAAAGTCTACCTGCAATTGAGGCACATGGTAGCATAAACATCAAAAGAGCAGAGACTCAACTTAATGGGGATGTAGGTCTAGTCCCAAACCCTGTTAAGGAACTTGGAAACAGAATGAAATTCTTTTGGTCCCTATTTCCATTTTAGGAGTCACTTCATTAAAACAAACAGCTAAAAATCTCTCCCTTGAGACTGAGAAGTTAGCCCAGGTCACAAATGAATCCATCTCCTCCTTCCAGATTGAGATAGATTCACAGTAGTTGGAATGGCCTTGGAAAATCAAATGACCTTAGGCATTCTTACTGAAGCTCAGGAAGGGGCTTGTGCTATGATTAATCAATCCTGTTGTTCCTTTATTAATTGTTCAGGGGAAATTATAACGAACCTTCATAAAATCCAGCAACTTGTAGCAGAAACACAATTATCCAATTCCAGTGACCCTTGGTGGAATCCTTCTTCTTGGTTCACTTGGCTGCAGGGAAATAATCTGTAACCCACCTTTGGTAAAATGGGCCTTTATTACTCATTGTCTTAGTACTCTTTGCCTTAGTTACAGTGTTAAAGCCTGCTCTAGAGTAGCCCCAGACTAGATGACTATGTTAAAAATCTTATAGAATTAGCTTAAAGTGATCTATAGGAGAAATATTTACCATTGATCAAAGGGGGAAACTGAAAATTGGGATAATCAGATTGATTCTATTTTTTTATTGATTCTATTCTGTATCACCAGACATTTTTATAACTACCTAAGTCGTGTCTCTTTTGTCTCAGATTTAAGTTTAGAGATTCAGCCTTCCTGTAAATAATTCATTGTCTCTGAGTTAAGTCTGTCACTGTTCTATTCTTGCCTCCAGAAACTCTGTTATCCTTGAAGGATGCAGGTGGACACCAGGAAATCTGATCTGTTATCCAAGGTCGTCTGGTGTACTCTTGCTAAACTGTCCTTGCAGGTGGACTCAAACAATGAACATTTCTTATAGAGACAGCATGGAAGGAGGAGTTGTTGCTAGCCTCTCATTCCTAATTTCCAGTCTATCATATTGTTCCTCACACTATGATGCTACCGGCCTTGTAACCAATCGTATTTCCCCATCTATGAGGCTGCCTTCTTTCAGTTTCTGGATGTTCCTCCTTTTGTCTGTAAAAAAGGAATGCAAGCCTATTTTGGGGGCCTTAGCTTTGCTGAGGAAGGTGAGATTCTGTTTATTGGCAAATTCATGCTTTGTCAACAAATTGATCATGCTCAGAACTTTGTGCCTCAGTTTACCTTTATTTTGATCATAACATGTATTTTAGAAATATCATTTATGCAGTACAAGCGAGAAATATTTTTTTGTTGATAATATAATAGGAAAAAGTTATTTTTTTCCAAGGATATTTTTTGTTTGGCTGTTCTTTATATAAGAAATAGTATGAAAACCATAAAATGGTAAGCTTGGCATTAATTACTGGCCAAATAGGACAGATGTTTTGTGAATAATTAGACAGGCAAATAAGTATCATGGCAGCATTATCAAGGGTTCACTAAAATAATAATAATAATAATAACTCGTGTACATTGCTTAAAGCTTTGATAAAATAGCCCTTCTGCTTGCCAAGCCAATCCCTCTACATATACTTTTGATCCTATCCCCTCCTTCTGTCCCTAAAATCATCCTTAATTTTTCTAATCTTCAGTCTCTCCCTATCTACTTGTTCCTTCTCAGCTATCTACAAAAATACTCATGTCCTCCATTCTTAAAAAAAAATACTGCATTAGACACTCAAATATCATCCTAAATCTTTCCTTTCCTCATCCAAACTCCTAGAAAAAGACGTATACATTCACTGCTTCTACTTCCTCCTTCTACTCACTTTGCAACCTGGCTTCCAACTTCAGCATTCAACTGAAACTACTCTCTTCAAAGTAACCAATGCTCTCACATTCTTGACTCCTCTGCAACGTCTGACATGCTGACCATCCTGTCCTCCTAGATAACCTCTCCTCTTTAAACTTTCATGAAACTGATCTCTTTTAATTCCTCTCTTCACTCCAATCCATTCTCTATTCAGCCAGTAAAGTGATTTTTCTAAAACACTGGCCTGATCATACCACCTCCCTACTCAACAAACTCCAGTGGCTCCCCATTACCTCCAGGGATAAATACAAAATGCTCTTTTAGTATTAAAAGCACTTCATAACCTAGCTCCCTCCTACTTTTCCAGTCTTCTTATACCCTACTCCCTAACATCTACCCTTCAATCCAGTGACATAGGCCTCCTGGATGTTAAGATACTCCATCTGTTGGCTTCAGGTGTTTTTTCTGACTGTCCCCTACGTCTGTAATATTCTTCTTCCTCAACTCCACCTGTATACTGACTACCTTGTCTTGCTTTAAGTATCAACCAAAATCTCATTTTTTTAATATATTCTAGTGCCTTCACTCTTTTATTTCCCATTTCTTCTCTATATAGCTTCCTTTGTATATATTTGTTTACTGTGTCCTAGGCTCCTTTATTCTCTCTCAGTGACTTCAGCAGCTCTTGTTATAGGCATGGCTCAAAAGCCAAAGCCCTCTTAGTTCAGGTTCAAAGATGGGATGAAATGAGGCACTAGGAAGGTACTGAACATTTAACAAAGGAGGAAGTTTGCTTTGCCCTATCACAGCAAGGATATGCAACAAGGATACAGTGGCACTTAGCTTCTTTGGTCATGACCCTCCTCATTTCCATTTGGAAACCTGCCTGGTCAGTTGGTCATCAGAGTACAGTGACTCATGTGGTCTCAGGCACCAACTAATTCGGAGAGGTGGTGACTATGCTTAGCTAGATCTTTATATTTCATCAGGGTAGTTGGGGCCAATCAGTTTTTGTGAAAGAAGATACCTTAAGAGATACCTTAAACTCAACAAGGCAAGAACTTACTGACTTTTCCTCAAAACCCACCCTTCTTCCAAACTTCCTCTTATTGTTATAAGCGCCACTATTTGTAATCTTGTCATTATCCTTGATTTCTCACTCTTCCTCAACTCATACTTACAATGAATTGCTCAATTTTGCTTTTTAAAGGGAAAGAACTAATATTAAGATGGGCTGGTAAAGGTTTCTTATAGAAGGCAGAATTTTAGCTGAGACTTGAAGGAAGGCTGGAGGTAGGGATGAGGAGGGAAAGAGTTCTAGGCATGGGAGTGGGGGCTGGAGGGAACAACCAGCGAAAATGGCTGGAGTTGTGAGACGAAGCGTTCTGTATAATGAACAGCAAAGAGGTCAGTGTCAATGTATGGAAGAGAGGTAAGTACATGGAGAGTGGTAAGGTTTAAGACTACAAAGATGGCTTGGTTACAAAGGGCTTTTAATGCCAAACAGCATCTTGTATTTGCTCCTGGAGGTAACAGGAAAACCAGGAGAGAGCAGTGACGGTGATTAGGAATCAAAACAGCGGACAGTGGGAGAAATGCAAAGCTGAGGCTTAGCCAGACAGGGCCTTCACTAGGAGTACAAGCGACTTGGGAGGACAGGGTGGCACTGAACTGGTTCAGCAGGGGATAAAGATAGGGAAGGAAAGTTAACTAGCCACCAGGTCACACTGACGTTCTAGTAGCTTCAAAAACCAAGTAGTAAAGTTTGAAACCAATCCATTATACCATCCTACATCTCTAGCACTATTGACAAAGTAACTTTTATTTCTGGTAGGGTTGGTAGCGTTATTATAGCATTTGGTTGAGGGAATGCTTTGCGGGATATACTTCATAGGAAGCATTGTTGTATGGCATATATTCCAGGGCACTGACTGGAATCGAAGGACCTGGATTCAAATCCTATTCCGAAGTTTACTGCTGGTGTAAGCTCAAGCAAATCTTTTAATCTTTTTTTTTCAGTAATTCAATAATTTATTCATCTAAAAAAGTGTGTAAAAGTATATAGCTTTCACCCACAAGGTATATATGAATGACACTTAAAATGGAGACCTTTTATTGTCTTTTAATCTTCCTGAGCCTCAAATTCTTCATCAGTAAAAGGAGGTGGCTGGACACCAGAGCCCGAGGCCTCCTCCAGCTCCAGTTTTATGCCTCTAAGTTACAGAAGCATGGCTGATCTGCAGCAACATGAGTTTCCACACCGGGAGTTCCCTAATCAATCACGAAGTACTAGGTGCCTGACAGACAAAAAAGAACAGCTAGCCCTTCTGGGACATTCTGTGGGGCGGAAGTTATATACGGTAATCTCTATGCAGGAGGGAAAGAGGATGGAAGGAAGAAAAGCCAGCTATCATGCCCACCAACAAAACCCTGCGAAGCCAAAGGTCCGGGGGTAACAGCGGGTGCTTCCTCCTCCCGGTCGGGCCTTCTGGGATCCCGGCCCGCCCTTCTCTCCTCGCGCCCCAGGCCGGAAGAACCCGCGAGACTAGCCCGGGCTAAGCACGTGGCCTCCGCTCCCTCCGCCCCCCCGCCCCCCCCGCCCCCGGAGCTCTCCAGCCCCGCCTCCTTCGCTCCGCCTCCCCTCGCTCCGCCTCCCCTACCCCCGCCCACCGCGCTCCGCGCCAGGCCGGCCCCAGGGCGGTTGCTCGCGGCCGCCGCCGCCCTCTCCTAACCCAATGGCGCGGCTGTCGCGTCAGCGCTGTGAGCCAGCACTTTAGGCTTCCCCCGCCTGGAGCCCATTACAACATCCGCCATGGCTGCTGCTGAAGCGGCACCTTGAGGAGTGGAAGGAGGAGGCTTAACCCAGTTCGCTTTGGCGGCGGCGGGGCGGCTGGAATTCCTCTGCTGCGGGTCATGGAGGAGCTGGACGCCGCGCAGGAGACCAGGGCAGCGCCGGCAGCGTCGGCCGACAGGGCGACGGTTATCATTTGAAGGGGGTGGCGGCGGCGGCCCGAGCTGGAGCGGCTGGAGACCTGACCCAGCTACGGGGCGGAGAGGCGTGAGGCCGGCCCGGGCAGGTGGGTGGCGGCCGTGGCGCCTCTGGCCCCGAGGAACGTAGGACGGGGCACGGCCGCTGGGAGGGTCCAGGTTTCGGGGCGCGGGCAAGGAGCCCCGGAGGGGGAGCGGGCAGGCCCAGGGTGAGGCCTGGGGGGGGGGGCGGACGGGGCTGCGGGTCCTGTGGGAAAACCTGCGGCTTTGGAGGAAGCCGCGGGGGGCCTCGGGTGGGGGCGCTCGGGGTCCCAGGGGAGCGGAAGTCGGGGTTTGGAGGAGGCCGGGGCGGAGGAAGCCGCGGGGAAGTGGAGGGCGAGCGGCTTTGTGACTCGCTTTTCGGGAGTTGGCCTGGTTGTCTTCGGACCTTTCGTTTTCTCTCTGCCCCGATCCCTGCCTCCCACTCGGGAATTGGAGCCCTTGGCTGTTCTTGCAGGAGATAAAGTGAAAAGTTCACTAGGACCCCAACTGTTGCCTTTCCCTGTCCTGTGCCGCGGGCAAACGCACTGCGAAATTAGAAGCTTGGAAGCTGAGAGCCGAAAGCAGAAACGATAAAATGGACCAATTACGATGCCGTACTGGGTCCAAACTTGGTATAATCTTGTCTCCAACAAGAGCTTTTAGGAAGAGTATTTAAGAAAACCAAGTCACTCCTAAAAGATAGAACTTCTCATAGTTGTCACAGGAACCATTATTTTGGGGAAAACCTAACATTTGTGGGAAATACAAATATAATAACCTTTTATCTTTCTTCTCTAGTTTGGTGATCTCGGGTGCCAAATGTTGGAAGGCGGTGGGACAACAGACATTTTTCATGGTTGTATACGTACTGGGTTGCAGTGATTGTCATTGAACTCTGGTTCCTGCAGCTGTTGGCCCTGCCCATAAAGTGAAGCAGGAACTTGTTCCTGAAGGATAAACAAGACAGACTCAATTGGACATAAATGGATCTAAAGACAGCAGTGTTTAATGCAGCTCGGGATGGCAAGCTGCGCCTTCTTGCCAAGTTGTTGGCAAGCAAATCAAAAGAGGAAGTGGCCTTGTTGATCTCTGAAAAAACAAATGGTGCCACTCCACTTTTGATGGCAGCCAGATATGGGCACCTTGACATGGTGGAATACCTTCTGGAGCAGTGCAGTGCCTCCATAGAGGTTGGAGGCTCTGTGAATTTCGATGGTGAGACCATTGAGGGGGCTCCACCTTTATGGGCAGCTTCGGCAGCAGGACATTTGAAGGTAGTCCAGTCTTTGTTAGACCATGGAGCATCTGTCAACAACACAACTTTGACTAATTCAACTCCTCTTAGGGCTGCCTGTTTTGACGGTCACCTGGAAATAGTAAAGTACCTTGTGGAACATAAAGCTGATTTGGAAGTTTCAAACCGTCATGGTCATACATGCTTAATGATTTCATGTTACAAAGGACATAAAGAAATTGCTCAGTATTTACTTGAAAAGGGGGCTGATGTTAATAGAAAAAGTGTTAAAGGTAAGTTCAAGGTCTGTATTTTTATCACTTTTAAGTGGTTACAATTTAGACCTTTTCTGAAGGTATTAATTAGTATTGACTGACTACCAGGTGTTCTCTTGTTTGGATCCTCTTGTAAAACTGCCTTATAACACCTCCATGATAAGCATTGTCTTTTAATTTGTAGTTGGGTAAACTTGTACATAGATGTCAAATGACTTGCCCAAGGTTACAGATAACAAGATATAGTTTAATCAGCTGTATTCTTTAATCTATTCAGATAAATTATGGTTTTCTGTTTGTAAATGTACCAAAAGTAGCTTTTCAAAAAAATTATTTATTTATATATAATGTTTGAGTTTGATTTTTTCCCAAAAAGAAGGATATGATATTTTGCAGGAAATTGTTGTTAGTAAACTGATCTTATTGGAGAATTTCTGTAAATGGAAGAAGAGAATCTTTCCTTTAAAAACATATTTATTGTATGCCTCTTTTAAAATGCTTTTTTGTACAATATTTATTAAATGTGGCAAGCTAGAAAAATCTTAAAGTGGATTTTTCTGTTATGCATTCAACTTAAAAAATATGGGATGTGCACTGAAGTTATAAGCGTGCTACCACTAATTTTTTCAGAGAATGGCTTGTTTGTATAATTATATATAGATAACATTTTAAACAAGCATTAGCTTTGAAGTCCTTTTACCTAAAGTGCTTCAGAAAACCTTTGAGTCACGTTTTGATGCTGAAGGACTTATTTTTTCTCAAAGAAAATGTTTGTATAATAGTGCATAAATGGTTTCTGGCCAACCTCATGTAATGACTGCTTTGAACCTAAAAATATTTGGATATAATGTTACCATTCTTTTTAGTCGAAACTCAGTAATGTTAAGAGATCATCCCTACTTACTTGTGACCATGTTGATGTGAAAAGTTACAGGAAGTAGTATTAAAGTTTGTGATCTTAAATGAAAGAAGTAGAGTTAGGGGCACTTTTTGGAGGGCTCAAAAATATGATCTGTAACACTCTGTGGTTGCTCAGTTGTTTCAGTCATATCCAACTCTCGTGACCCTATTTGAGGTTTTCTTTTCGAAGATACTGGACTGGTTTGCCATTGCCTTCTCCAGCTCATTTTACAGATGAGATAACTGAGGCAGCCAAGGTTTAGTGACTTGCCAAGGGTCACACAGCTAATAAAGTGTCTGAGGGCAGATTTGAACTTCGGAAGGTAGTTTTCCTGATGTTAGGCCTGTTGCTCTATTTAACTAGTTGCTCTGTAAACACTCTAGGAATACAAGAATCTGTGATGACTCATTAAGGACTTTTTGTAACACTCTAGGAATACAAAATGTCCTTTAATGAGTCATCATAGACTCTTGATAAAATGGCACGTGCTTTTGATAGATAATTTTGGCAATATGGAATCTAACGCCATATTTCTTTGTTTTTCTTTTACAGTGTTTTTATAAATCAGTTACAGCAATAATAAAAATATGCAAGGGCCATTAATATAAATAGCTAGTATTGTCAGCACTTTTCTCTGTTAAATTATAAGCCATATTAAGCAATATTTAACCCTGCCTTGTGGTGTTTGGTTTCATCATTGTTTATTCTTCCATTTCTTTGTTTTTATTGTTTAAATAACATTTTATAGCCCTTTATATGAAAGGGTTTACTTTCTTTTTAGGCCCTTGAGGCACAGAGCACTTTTACTACTTGCACTTGTTTATTGTTTTCAGAAATGAAATTTTCCACAATCAGTATCTTTGGAAGTGGTAACTTTTATTTCTGCTGAAAAGTACATACTGGATACAATTTTCCATCTTAAAATTCAGTTTTAAAGATCTAGCACACTTTTTTTTCAGTTTAATTTTCATCTGATGTTCATATTTAGTTACAAAGATAAACGCATGAAAAAGCTAGGGCAAATATTGTTTTGGGTGAAGAAATTTAGGGCACTCAGGACACAGTGCTGTGAATAAGGAAGGTGTAAAGGTGTACATTTCAGGCATGAGCCACAACCTATGCAAAATCATGGAGATCAGAAGTGGAATGTTGTGTTTAATAATAGTTCGAATTTATATAGTACTTAAAGATTTATGTATTATCTTTATTGCTTCTCACAAAAATCCTGCTGTTATTAGTATCCTTATTTTACAAATGAGAAAACTGAGGCTCAGAGAGTTTTGTATGACTTGACCAAGGTCACATAACTAATAGTTTCAGAGGCTGGATTTGCACCAAATTGCTGATTCCAAATCCAACACTTTATACACTGTCAGTGCTAGGAATAGCAAGTAGGTCAGTTTCACCAGAATAGTTTCACTGGAAAGGTGAGCTGGAGCCAAATGGTGAAGAACTTAAATGATAAACCGAAGTTTATATTTGGTACCCTGCAGGCAACAGAGGATCCTCAGCTTTTTTAAGCCTCAGCTTTTTAAGCAATGTAGTGTTTTAGACATGTGCTTTATGAATATCAGTTTAGCAGCCGAGTGGAAGATGGAGTGGGGAGGAGGGACTTGTGTCAGGGAAAGCATAAACCATGTAAGTGGGTGAACTGAGTGAGGGAGTAGATAGGGTTGGATGTGGGAGATGTGGAGGTAGAATGGTAAGATTTGGCAACTCATTGAATATGAATGAAGAAGAATGGAAAGAAATAAGAGAATCAGATCAAATATGTGATCAAAATTGTCTGCTTTCTGTGATCCTTTCTCTCCCTTGTATGATCATGTACTCTTCCCCTATCAAGGAATTTCTTCCATGTTCCTTTTGATTTCACCCTTTATATTTAAATCAGGTACCCCTTGGGAGCTTAAAGTATTGGTATGCGGTTTGAAATATGCCTAGTTTCTACCAAACTGTTTTATTTACAGTTTTCCTAGAAGTTTCTGTCAGATAGTGAGTTCTCAACCCCAATTACTGGGTTTATCAGACACTGGGTTACTGTGCTTGTTTTCTTCTGTATATTGTATACTTGCTCTGTTCCACTGATCTGGGCTTTCTATTTCTTAATTAGTACCAAACTGTTTCTCATGATTACTGCTTTGTGATGTAGTTTGAGATGTGGTACTCCTAGGCCCCTTTTCCCCCCCATTATTTCTCTTGAAATAACAGATCTTTTCTTCCTCCAGATTTTTTTTCTAACTCTATAAAAGTAATTCTTTGTTAATTTGATGGGTATGGTACTGAATAAGTAAATATTGTTCTTTTTAATAAATAATATTGCTCTTTTGATTTTATTGGGTTGGCCTACTCATGAGCAATGAATTTTTCTCCAGTTATTTAGATAATCCAATATTATCCAATTGCTGTGTTTGTGTAAGGTGGAGGTTGTATTTATATAGTTCTTGTGAGTCTTGGCAAGTAGACTTCCAAGAGTACATGTGTTTTTAAATGTTGTTTATACAGTATATTTGTATAATGAAAAATACTTTTTCTTATTAATTTAAAAGACATAAATTCTTTTCCTAAGAGTTATTGATAATTGATAACTGACAAAATTAGAACTGATCGTTTTTTAATAATAAGGGCAAATAATCACTAAGCATTGGCACACATTAACTTAAATAATAGCTCCCATTTAGTGTTTTAAAGTTTCCAAATTAATTTACATAATTTTTATTTGGTCCTCACAACAACTCTGTATACTGTTATCTTTATTTTACAGATAAGGAAACCAAGGCCCAGAAGACATGGAATGCCTCCATATGGGGCAGCAAAGTACAATTGTTCTGGCAACCATTATCATATTTAACTTTTGCTGAGCGTGTAGTAAATTAAAACTTACAAAGCTTTGACAAATTACTGCTAAACCAGGTATATCCCATTCTATTTGTGGTAACTTAAGAGCAGGCTTTTATATGAATTTAGCCCTATGTCTTGTAAATTTCTTGTAAATTTCCAACAGTTGTCAAAGAAAAGATCAGCCTGCTGTGAATCCACTTAACTTAGTACCATAACTATATTTCTTCTCCATCTTGTTCATAAGTGTATTCTGATGGACTTTGTCAAATGCTAAAATCCTAGTGCAGGGGCAGCTAGGTGGCACAGTAGATAGAGCATCGACCCTGGATTCAGGAGGACCTGAGTTCAAATGTGGCCTCAGACACATAACACTTAAGTAGCTGTGTGAGCCTGGGCAAGTCACCCCATTGCCTAGCAAAAAAAAAAAAAGAAAATCCAATTGCATAAGATACATCTATATCACTTCCCCAAGCTATCAGTATAGTAACACTGTAAAACCTACTGTAAAACACTTACTGATTGCATAACTGCACTTCAAATGGGCTAAGGAAGGAAAAAAGCCATTTATTAAGTGTCAAATACAATAGAGTTAGAGTCGTAGACCGTTATTTAAATCCCAACTCTTCCAACTTACTGTCAGTGAACTTAAAGCAGATACCTCCACCTCCCTGAGCCTTTTTTCCTCTTCTGTAAAGTGAAAAGTTTTAACTAGATGATCTCTAAGGTCTCTTCAATTCTAAATCTTAAGATTTAATGTTAGAAAGCATGGTTACACATCCGTGGATACATAGCTGATGTTGGTAGAGCCAAGATTAAAACTAAGGTTTCCTGATTCCTAGTTCAATATTCTTATAAATACTAACTGACCTGAAAGAATAAATCTACAGAACCACATAGTAGTTTCTTAATAAATGTTTGCTGAACTGAACTAAATTGCACAATGTAGCTGCCTCGAGGAGTGATGAAAATATTCTGTGGCCAGAATTTGACAGTGTCTGAGAGAATGCTAGTTTTGATACCCTTTTCTGAGAACTAGGGAGGGTAGCAAGGGAAAGGCTAGGGGTTTAAAATGATGCAACCATTTAGAACAGAGGTTCTTTTTGAGAACCATATTTCAATATAATTGGTTTCCTGTGTATTTTATCTTATGTATCATAAGTGGTTGTTAGGCTTTACCAGATTGTCAAAGGGGTACGTGACAAAAAAGGTTAAAAACCCCTGACTTAAATCAGTATGAACTAGGTTTACTTGGACCTGAGATGCTACTTAGAATAAAAGG